AATAGCCCAAGAGACAGAAAGGGCCACATAAACCAGAGACTCCATCAGCCTGAGACCAGAAGAACTAGATGGTGCCTGGCTACCACCAATGACCTTATTGACAGGGAACACAACACAGAGTCCCTGACAGAACAGGAGAAAAGTGGGATGCAGAACTCAAATTCTAGTAAAAAGACCAGACATAATGGTCTGACTGAGACTGGAGGGACCCGGGAAGACATGACCCCCAGACTCTCTGTTAGCCCAAAACTAAAACCATTCCCGCGGCCAACTCTTCACACAAAGATTAGACTGGATTATGGGATATAAAATGATACTCATCAAGAGTGTGCTTCTTAGCTCAAGTAAACACATGAGACTAAATGGGCAGCTCCTGTCCGGAGGTGAGATGAGAAGGCAGAGAGGGTCAGGAGCTAGTTGAAGAGACACGGGAAATCGGGGGTGGAAAGGAGGAAGTGTGCTGTCACAGTACACAGAGAGCCTCTAGCGTCACATAACAATATACGTACAAAGATTTGTATGAGACTAACTTGAATTGTAAACTTTCACCTAAAGCACAATTTTAAAAAAAAAGTGCAGTTCTGGGCGAAAACACGACTGTAGTGGTTTCGAGAGAAGGCAGAAAATAGCAAGTAGACATAGACATTCCATGCCTTGTGATGAAGAGTCAAAGAAACACGGTGCTAGCAGGAGAGGAGCACGGGGACAAGGCAAGGCTGGTCAGTTTTGAACTAAGAGATACTGCAGTGTGTGTGCGCGGACGGGCGTGAGCCAGCCAACCCGGTGAGTCCGGGGAGCAGGGGCCAGAGGGACCACCTGCAGAAGCCCAGCGTCCCGAAGGGAGGGCCCAGACAAAACCCGAGGCGACAGCGAGCTGAAGAGGGGCTGCATTCGGAAGCCGGCAAGGACGGTATTAGAGTAGGGTCCGGGAAGACACGGCTTCCGGGGGCAGATACCCCACTTGGGGACAGGCTTCCCAGTTCAAGTGACTGAGACGAGCTCTGGGGACGAACGGGAGTTCACCTCTGAGGGGATGGAGCGCGGGACAGGCAGCTTCGGCACAGGTGTGCCGCTCCCGTTCGAGGCTCCACTTACATCTTGTCCTTCTGGTGCTGTCGCTTCCCCATGGTGGCGACGGACAGCAGCGGCAACCGGAAGAGCGTGAGCGGGGACAAGAGACAGAGAACTCAGACCTCACCTCCTCACCCGAGCTCCCGGTACACTTCCGGTATGCGAGGCCCCGCCCCGGAAGCCACCGCTTAGCATGCCGGGAAGTGCGGGCCTGAAGTGGAAAGCTAATGTCTACCCGACGTGGGAAGTCCCTGGGCCCCGGGGGTAAACTCAGTCTCTTGGGCGTTTGCACACAGAGCGCTGGGTTGTCTTCGATGCGAAGCTCCCTCTTTTAGGTGGCCTCTCTCTGGATCGCCTCGCTTCCCCTGCCTAGCCCTGGCGTAGTCTCGTCCCCGCTAAACCCGCCCTGGGCTCTCAGGCATTTTAAAACGCCCACCTGGAGCCTCAAGTCCCACCAATCTCGGTGTCTCCCGTTCACACTAGCTCTCTACTTGCTTACCGCGCATTCTCTCCACCCACTCTCCTCGCCGCCTGCAGACCCGTGACCCAGTAGCAGGTGGTCACCAAGGCTGGAGGCCTCAAGCCCTCACTGGTCCTTCCTGACTCTTCCACTGGACCCCTCCCCTGCCACAGATAAGAACGTTTGTGTACCCTTGTCTCATTTCTGGCCTCTGTCTACACTCAGGCCTGGGGGGATCTTGTCCAGGCTCACAGCTTTAAAAAACACAGTATCCTATGACTCCCAACGCTAACTAGCCTGTGCTCCAGACTCTTGACCTTTACAGGGTACCCATGACTTCAAATTTAACATGCCTGAACAAAGGAAGTAAAAACCAAACCCATTGCTGTCGAGGTGACTGACTCATAGTGACCCTATTGGACAGAGTACAACTGCCCCATATGGTTTCCAAAGAGCAGCTAGATTCGAATTGCTGACCCTTTGGTTAGCCGCCAAACTCTTAACCACTGCGTCACCCGGGCTCCGTATAGGGTCGCTGAGTCGTAATGAACTCCACGGCAAACGGTTTGGGTTTTTTTTTTTGTTTGTTTTTTTGGTCAAAGGAGAAGTCTCCACTCTCCCCCAACCCTCATGCCTCACTCCCACAATCTCCTGAACATACCACCACCCACCTCGTCACTGGAAACCAGCTGTCCTTGCTTTTTCTCATTTTACTGCTGGTTCCTCTAGCTTCCAATTAAATGACGCCTCCTCATAGAGACCTTCCCTGACGCCCTCATCCCATGTGGCTGTCCCCAGACCTCTCCATATCAGCTCCCATCAGGCTGCTTATCACAGTGTGTCATCCCATAGTAATTCATCTATGTGCTGGTTTACCCCACCCCCTCAGAGACACATGTTGCTTGGTTTATTATCTACAGTTCCAAGAAAGATGTGGAGCATGCACATCTGCTAATGTGCCTTCCTCGAAGGGTATTTAGCGAGGACTCACTTTTCACATGTAGGTTTGGTGCTAAAGTCAGGTATGAAGTGACAATTGGAGTCATACATCTTTGAAATTCCTTAGGAAGGTGCCAAGTTGGAAAGTGACACACCAGCTCCCGTTTTTTCCTCCATGGAGAGAACAGGTCACTGTTTCTAAACCTGTGCACCAAATAAGGTTTGCATTTAGGAGCTAGGTGTAGGAAAAAGATGGTAGACATGCAGCTCAGTTGCGTCAAATGAGACCAAACCAAGGGCATCACTCGTTCCTTTTACAAAGTGCATGTGGCTGAGTTTCCACGTTAGAGTACAAGCGAGGAGTGCTGACTTGACCACCTACTGTATGCAGGCTCGGCCAAAGGACCTTGGGCCGGCGCTACTACCCTGACCACCCCTTTGGGCTAGAAGTGTCACTAAACCACCCTGAGGGAGCCCAGTACCCACCCCAGCACAAGCACAGTACCTCCACAAGATCTTTATTCATTCGTCAGGCCATATCTATAGGGAAGTGGTTACAGGCTCCTGTGGTGGGACACCAAGTCTGAGCTGCCAGGGTCGTTCTCTGAGTCATCTTTGGGTCTGCGTACAGGCTGGAACTTGAGTAGGACAGGTGGGGTGAAGATGGAGGCCTTCACAGGAGGGGATGGCATCTCCTCAGTGTTGGGGGAGCCACTGCAGGCTGAGGTCCTGCACAGAGACATCCCAGAGATGCCGATGAGGTGGGCCACCAGCACCCAGGACTATGTGCCATCAGCACCCCTCTGACATATTTCTACTTCCAGAAACCTCTCTATGAATGTGTGTTCAATGCTGTTCATTGTGACAATGTTTGTGATTATAAAAACATAGAAACAATCTAAATATCCATCAACCAAAAAACCAGTTCCCACTGAGTCAACTCTGACTCATGGCAACCCCACGTGCGTCAGCAGAACTGTTTTCCATAGGGTTTTCAGTGGCTGATTTTTCAGGAGACTGCCAGGCCTTTCTTCCAAGACACCTCTGGGTGGACTTCAACCACCAACCTTTTGGTTAACAGCTGAGCGCCTAACCGTTTATGCCACCCAGGGACTCTGATAATGGCCAATAATCCCTTCACTTTAAAATTTTACTTTGTAACAACACTGCAAAAATGTTCACTGTCACCCAGCAGTCACCTTCCTACCTCCCACCCCCTTTTCTGATCTGGTAGCCTGTGACTCCATAATCACATATAATCATATTTATAATTTTAATGGCTGCATAATATTCCATAATTATGTGAATGCACTTTGGAGCAGTTTTGTTTTTCTCTTTTAACTGCTGCTGCCATAAACATTTTTACACACAATGGCTTTTTTCTCTTCCTTAATCATTTCCTTGGGGCCAGTTCCCAGGATTAAAAATGCCAGATCAAAGAATGTGAGAACTTCCATGGCTCCTGATATGTTTGTTTGCCTTTCAAAAGGCTCAAGCCTTTAATTTTGTGCTTCAAAGGACACCACCAAGAAAGTAAAAAGACAATACAGAATGGGAAAAAATATTTGCAAATCATATATCTGAAAAGGAATATATATCTAGAATATATAAAGAACTCTTACAATTCAACAACATAAAGACAAACACCTCAATTTAAAAATGGATGAAGGATCTGAAGAGACATTCCTCCAGAGAAGATATACAATGGTCAATAAACACATGAAAGGATGAGCCACATCCTTAGTCATCAAGGAATACAAATCAAAACCACAATGAGATACCACCTCACACCCAGTAGGATGGCTAGAATCAAAAAGACAAATAATAACAAGTGTTATCATGAGAATGTAGAGAAATTTGAACCTCATACACTGATGGTAGAAATGTAAAATAGTACAGGCACTTTGGAAAACAATCTGGCAGCTTCTCAAAAGGCTAAACACAGTTACCATATGATCCAGCAATTCTTCTCCTATGCAAACAATGTTCACACAAAATCTTGTACATAAACGTTCATAACAGCATTATTCATAATATCCAAAAAGTAGAGACCCAAACATCCATCAACTGATGGCCATTTATCTAACAAAATGTGGCATATCCATACAATGGAATATTATTGGACAATTAAAAGGACCTAAATACTGACAAACATGCTACAGCATGAAGCCTGAAAACATCATTCTGAGGTGAAAGAAGCCAGACACAAAAGACCACATATGTATGATTCCATTTATATGAAATGTCCTGAATAGCTAAATCTATAGAGACAGAAAGTAGATGTGTGGTTCTAAGGCTGGGGGTATGGGGAGATCAGGGCGTTGGAGGTAACGACTAAGGGGTACAGGGTTTCTTTTTGGAGTGATGAATATTCCAAAATTGACTGTGGTGATGGTTACACTCCTATGCAAACTTAAAGCCATTGAATCATACACTTTAAATGGGTGAACTGTATGGTATGTGAATTATATCTCAATAAAGCTGTTTTTTAAAAAAAAGGACTAAGGTGCCCAGCTACCATCACCAATCGCCGTGACAAGGATCACAATAGAGTGTCCTGGACAGAGCAGGAGAAGAATGTAGAACAAAATTCAAATTTACAAAAAAGACCAGACTTACTGGTCTGACAGAGACTGGAGGAATCCCCGAGACTATGGCCCCCTGGACAGCTTATAACTCAGAACTAAAGCCACTCCCGAAGTTCACCTTTCAGCCAAAGATTAGACAAGCCTATAAAACAAACAATGACACATGTGAAGAATGTACCTCTTAGATTAATCAAGTACACAAAACCAAATGGGCAACACCTGCCCAAAAACAAAGAAGAGAAGGCAGCAAGGGGCAGGAAAACTGGCCAAATGGAAACGGGGAACCCAGGGTGGGAAGAGGGAGAGTGCTGACATATTGCAGTTATTGCAACTAATGTCATGAAACAATTTGTGTATAAATTTTTGAATGAGAAATTTGCTCTGTAAACTTTCACCTAAAGCACAAAAAAAAGATAAGTGATGTTGAAATGGCAAATGTTTGTTATATATAATTTTACCACAATAAAAAAGACAAGTCAGGGGAAAAAAAAAACTAAGCCAATCTGTAATATTTTCACAGCAAAAATGAGAGTCTCTTTCTAAAGCTTTGAGAGCACAGGATTTAATCACTGTCTCTTTACTTTGGGCCTTTTGATAGGTATATAATGTACACCCTAGCAATCTTAATGTGTACCTCTTCCATAACTGAGGGAGTCAAAAACACTTTTAAAGGTTGGCTTACTCTTTGGGTGCCCTCTTGGGTAAGCTTTCTGTTACGGATTGAATTGTGTTCCCCCAAAATGTGTTGGATACCTATACTTGTGGAAGTATCTCGTTTGGGAATAGGGCTTTCTTTGTTATGTTAATGAGGCCGTACCAGTGTAGGGTGTATTTTAAATCGATCACCTTTAAATTGTAAAAAGAACAGATTAGGCAGGAAGAAGGAAGCTCTAACAGAGGGGTAAATACAAGCCACATGAAGACTGCCAAGGAATGCCAGAAGTTGAGACAAGGACTTTCCCCCAGAGCGGTCAGAGAGAGTCTTCCCCTAGCAATGGTGCCCTGAATTCACATTTCTACCCTCTAAACTGTGAGAAAATAAATTTGTTAAAGCCACCCACTTGTAGTATTTCTGTTTTAGGAGCACTAAGAACTAAGACATTTTCTGTCAACTGGGAATTTAGAATCACCTTTACAGAACTGTGTGAGCTTCTGACACAAAAAGTCACCTAATGCAATGAAACAGCCATTCTAAATTATACTTTAGAATAACATTCAATGACACGGGAAATGCTAACATGGTAAGTGAAAAAAGCAGGTAAAAAAAACTCACATTTAGTAAATCCCTACTTCACAAAAACACAATTACATACAAAAATTTATACGATTTGTATATAAATCACAGGGCTGTCCCACAGTTGATGGAATTGTTCACTTTCTGTTGAGCTTTTGGGTTGCTCTGTTTCCAATTTTTCACCATTACAAATTCTAGGAAGGGTGAATGGCTTTTCCAGAACCCCTGGTTATGTCCTCAGGGTCATTCCTGGAAGTGGAAGGGACAATCACAATGAACATTTTTCCAGCTCTTGTACACATCGTGATGATGCCTGTCAGAGGTGGGCTGGGTATCCCAGGGGCCGAGGCAGATCCAGGACCATGCTCCAGCCCAAGGAAGCCACAGAGGCAAGCTTACCAGGGGAAGCCAGAACAATGGAGTTTGTGAGCACTGTTTCCGGACAGGTAGGAGAAATGGAAGCCTCCAGGGTTAAGGACCAAGGGAGTCAGATCAACCATGTGGCTGCAAGACAGAGCAGAAGGTGGCATGTCAGGCCCGGGCTACCATGCAGACCCAGCTCCCATGGGGGCCTTGTAACTCTGCCTTTCATTACCCTGAGCTTCCTCAACCTCAGTGTCCACATCTATGAACATGGACTTCCCTTTTTAAAATGGGGAGAAAAACCACACAGGATTGTTGTGAAGATTAATTAAGGGGTGGGGAAGAAATGGCAACCAAGCCTGGTACACAGGAGGTGCCCCCAAAATGCTTTTTCCTCAAGCCCAGAATAAATTCTTTCTACCTCTTTGGGTTTGATGACAGACCGCTCCAGTTTAACTTCACTTCGGAACTTGAAACTTCCACTTTCTCCATCTGCAGGAAGCAAAGGACATCTTAGGCAAGTTCAGGAGCCTCACTGTGAAGAAAGACACCTTATACAAAGAACTACATGTTCCAAAAAAAGACCAAACTTACTGGTCTGATAGAGACTGGAGCAACCCCGAAGTATGGCCCCTGGACACCCTTTTAGCTCAGTAATGAAGTCACTCCCAAGGTTCACCCTTCAGCCAAAGATTAGATAGGCCCATAAAACAAAATGAGACTAATGGGGCACAACAGCCCAGGGACAAGGACTAGAAGGCAGAAGGGGGCAGGAAAGCTGGTAATAGGGAACCGAAGGTCGAGAAGGG